TTTGTCCAAACCCTTTTTTAAATCCAGTTATACTACCTGCCTCTACAACTTCCTGTGATGATGAGTTCCACCAGTTAACTATGAATTGCGTTTTGATAGCATGTTCAGTATCATGTGTATTCCCAATCTTATGAGACTAGAACATTTATCATTTTGATTAAAAAAAATACTTTAAGAAGCATATTCTGCTTGGGGGATTCTAGCTCAGGATATACCTTTAATAGCAGCTATGGAAGTAGGGATCAAGCTACGTAAGATCTTCAGACTGGCTATACAGAGTCAGAAAGGCTCCTAAACCTTTGGTTTCCTTTAACAGTTTCCTTTAAACCAGAGGTTGACCTAATCTTGGGGGTTCAGGCATCATAATGTGTCTTGATCAAAATTAATACACATATGTTTTAACTTATTTATTGGCAAGCTTCATTTTTTAAGCATGCAAGAAAGTTAAGAACATATAATAAGATGACAGAAACAGAAGTTGTCATTACCCCCTAGAAAGGTTCTATTTTATGGTACTTCAACCATTATTTTTAGCTTCTGTACACAGCAATGAGATGTCATATCTAACCATTGCTTTCTGCTAGTAGCATTCAAAAAAAGCAATATAAAGCAGTCCTTTTTGACATGATAATGAAGTTAGACAACAAAATTACTTAACCCTGTTACTGTGAACAAAAGGAGTCTACCATAAATGTCAAGTTGCATTTATGTATGAATAGGCTCAAAACCAGCATCACTCCAAAAAATGAAGACTGCAGCTGCACAAGACACAATTTTTTAAAAAATTGTTTTTACTTGCAGGTTCATTATGTTAAATGTCAAATGCTTTTACAAAGCCATTTAGAAAAATTCAGGCTCCTTACTAAACTCTGTCCTGCTAGAAGTCAGGGGATGTCTTGCAAACAATGTAAGTGGTTAAGGTACTAACACAGACTCTTATTTGGCAGGAGAAATATTTGAATTTTCTTGATGGAAACTGAAAATTCACTCAAACTTTTAAAATATATTATACGTTTCATGAATATGAAATGTACTTTTTAAGTTTAGATTAAATCCTTTTAAAATGAAATCAATTTTTTAACTCTCTCCATTATGAGAAAATGTAGGTTCTACCTTTTATGAAAATGTTGCAGTCTCTGGGAAATATTGGACCCTTGGGCCTACAACTGTGTTAAAGTGTTCATATTCTTTCCTTCCTTTTTGCTTCTTTGACTTTGTTAGAGTTGTATTTTTTTCATTAGGAGTTCCTCTCCAGTTTTTATGTAACCTTTTAGTTATTTACTACCTGTACATTTTAGTCTGTATTTTACCCCATGCAGTTTGCAAAATCTGGTTGTGTCCATACTGTGCCCTGTTTTAATATCAGTTCATAACAGAACAGAGTATAGGTGATGCGTAGTGGGTGCATGGGGGTGCATGTGCACCCCCTGAGAGCGCTGGTGCCCTGCCCTGAGAGTGAGCACTCTCAGTTTAGGCGACGGGCAGGGGGGCAGGTAGAGCGCTGGTGCCTCCCCCCTGAGAAGTCCCGCTGGCACTTCTAAGCACACCGCCGGCACTTGCAGGCTCAGTGTCTGGCACGGGGTGGGGGGGGGGAAACTCCACCCCCCTCGGCCACTGACACCACTGCAGCTACCTGTAGACAGTTCCTGCTCAGCCTGCCTTCACCACTGATGCCTGCAGTACCACCTGCAGGCGGTCGCCATGCCCCCCCAGCCTCGGGAGGCATGCATTGGCTATGGAACAGAGACATCTCATTTTTGTTTTATAAAGAAAAAACGTTTTCTCTTTTTATTACATTGTTATTATTTGAAGTATTTCCTATCTCTTCTCTTTCTTCTTCCTTAAATATTTCTCCTGGGAAGTATGAAACATTTTAACTCCACCCAAATCCCAAGGGAGTTGTGAGCATTTAGGGGCTAACTTTTAAAGGTATTTAAACATCTAAGGGCATGCAGATGCTAGCTCCACACCTGCTGTTTATACCAGTTGCTCATTTTGAAAAGTCAATTTTTAACTGTTTTCTCTCTCAACAAAAAATGAGAGGTTGCTGGCATGTGATCCTACTTTCTGCCTTTTCTAACTTTAAGGGCCCGGCTGATACTGGCATGTGATCCTACTTCCTGCCCTTTCTAACTTTAAGGGCCCTGCTGATACCCTTCACAAGGGTAAGTAGTACCTCATCCTGCCGCAAATAAACTCTTTTGAGTCAGTGAAACAACTCACAAAGTAAGGAACTCAGTATGAATATAGGGACTAGAATTAGTCTCTAAATAGGGTGTGTGTATACTAGCTCAACTCTTGGCTTAGACAGTTTTGCCAAGATAAATATGTTTGAGCTGACGGATTTACCTACTCATTTTGAAGCACTTTACAGATCTTTACTTAACTGCAAGATTGTGGACTAATCATTTTGATGCTTCAATAGCCTGGCCAGGTACTGTTTTCAGGCTGACAATTCACACCTGTAACAGAGCCTAGAAGCTACAGATAGAATTCTAATACCTTGTCCAATCTAGTTTCAAGTGCCTCAGGTGATGGGAAGGCAATCTTTTTCCTGGGAGCTGATGCGGACAGGCAGCACTTGCATTGCTAACACGAAGCCAAAACACTTTCTAATCTGAACTCCTTGCTTTAGGAATTTAGCCTGAGTAAAGGAATACTGGCTAACCAGCCTAGAAATATTTTCTTGGTTTCTGGTATTCTATGTATATTATAGGAAATATCAATATATTGAGATGTTTACTTGCCTGCAAGCAGTTGCAGTTAATGGGAATGGAGGATGCTCAGCACCTTAAAGGAACAAGCCTAAAGTGATAAAACTTTAGTAAAAGGCATCAACGTTCCTTTGAGTTATATGCTTAGTACTCACTTAGCTGTTTGCTGAATGGAAAGCCAAATGTGTAATGCTAAAATTCTTTTGGGGTGATGTGGCTGATGGGGGGTTTTTCTCAGGATCGTCCCAATAAAATAAATGACAGTGAGTCTGTTGTTACTGTGAGTGTGCAAAGGACAATAGAAAAAAAAAAACTTGTACTGAGTACCACTGAAGAGCTCTTCCTAGGCTAATTCTCCCCATTGAACAGAATAACAGACACCTCTAATATAGAAAACAGTTTTACTTATACAAGCATAGAACCTCCCTTAGCCATTTGGCATGATGATAAACCTTGAAGCAACCACTGACTTGCAACTATCACCAAGGTGCTTTGTAAATTATTGTTCCACACCAGTACACTGTGCTCCTGACAGCTCACAGAAATGCTAACATTACTTTAGTATTTTCTTTTTGGAGGGTGGTTATTTCACTTGAGTAAAAAAAAAAAAAAAAGTTGAATCCAACATGGATACATAAGAGCTGTGAAATAACTAAAGCAACAATGAAGAGAAATAAAATGTTTTTCAATTGCTTGACATAGTCAAGTTTAAAATCTTCTGAATGACTTTCTCAAATATTTTGTGAATAAATATCTGTTGGCGTACCTTTTCTGAACAAGTGAGAATGATTGGAAATAGGTTAACAGCACAAACATTTTCACACTGCTTTAGTTTTTATTTAATGCATTTCAATATAGTTCATAAAAAGAAGGCAATACACAATTTAAAAGTAAAAGTTAAAACTGAAAAAGGGTTTGTGATCTAAGGCACACTTTTTAAAGGAAATTTAAGGACTCAAATCAGCCAAATGCAAATGTAAAGGTTTAATTCCATTTTTCAGTAATGGCTCTTTTCAGTGAAAGAGATGAATGTTTAACACAAGTTCCGCTAAACAGTTTTCATAATCAGAAAGAATTAAAAAGATAGTAATGATTTTAGTTGAGCTTTCATCTGATGTTATTGAGGTTTTAACTGAGAATATGATGGAAAGTTCAAACTGGCTTGCATTCTGGTTGAGGTGATCTTCTGCAGTAGTTAAGTTACGATGGCATGGAGCTCAACATGGGAGAACTGACCCTACAGGTTTTCCAGCCCAGACTGAACTGAACCTTGAAGTTGTGACTAGATTGCAACTGGTTCTTAAGCTAGCCAGTTGAGCCAGCTGTGAATACAGTTTTGACATATTGTTAGATTTTAAAGATTTGTTTTATGCTCATGTATATTAAGAAAAAAAATTAACTGCATCATAAACAGGTTTCAAAGGTATCAGACTTTTAATCATCTTATTCTTCCACTTCAGAGAAGGGAGCAGGCAAGGACCTTTGCAGGACCTGTTTTCGAGAAAAGGAAGAAGTTACTGTAATTTGATTAGCTGTATTTGCTTCTGTTGAGATTTATTATTTATAGAATTTATCTTGGTGTTTAGTCACATGCGTTAAACTTTTCAAATAAGAATGCTGAAGTCTTAAAAATAACATGCTGCAACATTTAGCAAAACCTGAAAGAGAGACCATCCTTAGATTAACTCTTAAGGTAAGAAGCGGCTATTAAAATCAAGTAGTTTAATTTCCTCCATAATGTAGGCCATAGGCCTACATTAGCTACATTGCTGACATTTAGGTCAGCAATTCCTGCATTGAGCCAAAGTGATTATAAACTCATCTAGAGTACAATTCTGTTTCACTTACAATGGCCTTCCATTTGATAGCTGATATTTCTCAGTTTCTTGAGTGGACTAACGTGGCTGCTTTACACAGATTTCATTTTCCCCCTTGCCCACCTGGGACTATAGATATATACACATAACAGTTGTCTTTTAAATCTTTTTTTAATTAAATAAACCTGTAGCAATTACAGTTCAGTTTATTTTTTTGATTTATTTTCTTTTTACAAAGGAACTTCACAAGCAGATTTCACAAATTCTTTGTGAAATCAAAACCATAGATTATGCATGTCAGCATACATACATAGTAAAATGATAAACGTGAGTCATGTACATATACACACACACACAAAGAAAACAAGGCACTGTTAAGAATGTACAGGTAGTAAATGACGAAAAGGTTACATAAAAACTGGGGAGGAACTCCTAATGAAATTTACAGCAGTAGTTCATATTGAGTGCACTAAAGCTGTAGATAGCTTAGGGGTTCTCTGTTTAAAAGCCCAACTCTATCCCTCTTGCCATATGTATTGGATCCCACGTTGGTAGGTGAATAAATTGCTCCGATGTGGTTGCTAGAACGAACTAAAAAGTCAGCCAAGCGTTGCGTCACACATGTAGCAGTGTTGCATTTCCGTTTCTCTAAGCGGTGACTGTAACATAAAACAAAACGAGTCAGGGTGAAGTCTAAGGATGAGCAATCAAATGTACCACTTCTGAAAGGCATTTGAACAGTGATAATGTAGGAGTTTTTAATGTGAGCACAAATACGTTAACATTACAATCTTCCTGCCACCTACTTTGTGCTTGAAAAAAATATTGCACCGTATGCTATTATCAGTTTTAATAATAGGAGTAGGTTAAATGCAAGACCTCAAGACTCATGTGTCATTTGCATTGATATTCAGCACAGTAGTTTATGGCATCTACAGAACCTGTAATGCTAGTATAGTAAAGACAGTCAGTGAAAACAACGACTAAATGTTTCTCTTTAAGCTGAACTTTTGAGGCTATTTAGAGAACTTGCTGATACCATGAGAATGATTGACACTATCGTAATCACTTACATTTATTTAGGTCTCTTAGTCTTTCAGGGGTACATCATGCTCCCATTGGAGTCAATGATAAACCTCTAATTAAGTACAAAGGAAGTGGGGCTCAAGACACTTTCTTCAAAATACTGGCTAAAACCAAATAGCAACTGAGCATCTTTCTTTTCTTTTATGTTCTGCACCTCTGAAGATTTTGCTCTGTGTAAACAAAATCTTCACTATTAGAAGCAGTCACTTCTTGACCAGAGCACAGCAGTGTGGCATTACAGGCCTTGTAGGAGGGAAACATTTTTTAAAAGAACCTTATTTTCTTACAGAGTTCCACTTAAATATCATATCCCAAAAGAAGCTTAGCTTTGAAGTTTTATGCAACACAACTTACTCTGCTGAGTTTATAGAATATACTTCAGATGGAATCTAGCATTTAAATGAGTTATTATAATAAAATTTTGGCTCTAGAGAAATCAGAAATTTCAATCTTTCTGTTGAGACTTCTAAGCCAACCTTAAAAATGGACACTCTCTACTCTATTTTTGACAGTGTTTCCTGAGCTAAGGACAATTTGTTTGGAAGCTTTTGCTGTTATTATTTCAAAATAGTCCATATGTTGACATGACATGGCAAAAGTAAATAATAATTTGAGATAGAACAGGCCAATGATTCTTTGTATATAGTAAGAAACTCAGCAATGTTGCTTATTAACTAATTCCTCATAAATGTACAATTCTATTAATTAACTATCCATGCCATCTAAAATATCACATTATCATTTTGCAACGTGATGAAATTAGACACTGTAGTAAATGTCTGAGTAATAACAGCTGGCTGGAAAATGGGTGCTAGTTTATAAGGTTTAAAAAAATATGCCGTTATATTCCAGTTATAGTGATTTTTTGGGGGGTGGGAATGTGGGTGTTCTCCTAGTATGTCTTTCTGTTGACTTCAAGTGGAGCTGGAGCTGGTCCCTAAAGCTGGAGGAGAGATAAAGTACTTGGTCTAGACATCCAGGCAATAATATATTGAGTTTAATGAATGGGGAACTTGCTACCCTGTTTTACTTTTAAAAAATTAACTAATATCCAATTTTAAAGAAATATTTAAGCTGTTCATTATGACAAAGCTCTCATTGTTTTTAAATGGAGCAGAATCAGGCTTCAAACTATAAACTGGAATTTTTTTACACTAGTAGGCCCTGTAAAACTGATGCAACAAACCATGTCTTGGTTGTAACAGAACACAGTTGAACCAAATGACCTCAGGGTTGTTGGGTCACTAGGCACCTGATCCATCAATTGTTATTCAACTGTGTAGTGTCACTGGGGCTATCACCTGGGAGAAGACAACCAGACTGGGTCACTGATGAGCAGGATATCAAATGCCAGAGTCATAAAGACACTATTTTGCAAAAAATATATATTTTAAATTATGAGAACCCTTTTAATGCATGTATCTAGTGCTCTGTGTTTATTATCCACATTTATTTTGGAAGGTAATCAGTTTGGCATGTAACAATGATTCTTCAGTGTGGGATACACAAATCTGATCAGAAGCTACCATACAGAAGATCTGCTTAATGAAACTATTCACCCAAAGACCCAATAAGACAGACTAAATGACATAACTATTTTTTCTTAGGATTAATCAAGGTCATTTATCATTTAGCATAAACTCCAAATTCTTTTAAAAGCACATAAAAAAGTTCATGGACAATACATTTATAAACCTATAGAGGTAAATGTAGTCCAAACTAAATTGTAGCAAGGTAAATTGTTTGTGATTCACTCGATCATGAAATTAGTGTTCAGTTCAGAAATTAGTGTTGAATTCTCCCTACAAGTTAGTTCCCTCTCCCCTACTCCTCTCTTAATTCAGGCTTCAAAAATTAATATTGACATAAAAAAACCTTAAAATAAACATTGTTTTTGCAATGTAACCTAAAAATGTTGTGCTTTTATTACTTGAAAGTTCAGGAACATAAATTATAGCTTTTTAAAAAAAGCTTATAAAATGTCTGGTTTACCTATTTGCTTTTCTAACTTTATTCTTTTGGTCATAGTTCATTTTTTCTTAAGTTGAGATAGTTTGCAGTAATTCAAAAAACACTTGCAGAATGGCAAGAAGGATATTTTAAGGTCTGCCTAAGAATCGAATCCCTAAAATTGAGTAAATACGAGAACAGAAAACTCTCTAGCACAAACTGCACTACTAAATGTAATTACAGCTGAATTGTCTAAAAGAATGTAGAAGAGATGGATACCTTTTTAGCTTTCCTGCCTGTTTTGGCATTGCCTCACTAAGTCCCAAGAGTGCGTTCCTTGACATGACCGGCAATATCCATCCTTGTCTGTTGGAAGTCCCATCAGATAGGTCATCAGCCACAGACAATAGTCTTTACAAACAACAAAATACAAAGTTAAGCTGAATAGCCCTATTTTTCTCAAAGTATCTGAAACACAATGGCAAGAAATTTAGTATATTAGTTTGAAATATCGCATTTTTCATTAAAAATAAATAACCATGTTCACTACTAACCTTTCTATAGGTGTAGCTTCCAGGTAACTTAAAGTAACTGAGAGTACAATGAAGACAACTGGCAGTTTTAGGTTGCACATCTTTCCTTCCTAAGGTTTCTGGAAAAAATAATTGTTCAAAACTAAAAGAAATCCCAAGTACAATTGGGCATATACTAGTTCTCATCCTTGGGCTGTTCTAAACAAGTAACAACAAGGCTCTTTCACAAACTAGAGTAAAAGCTTCTTCAAACTTGAGTAACAACAAAGCAGGGAGATTCAGATGGCTTTCTGTAATAAATGTCTTTTCCCATCTGAGATTAAATCCTCCAAATATCCCTGCTTTTCATTCTCCTACATTTTCTAAACTTGAATATAAACTGTAGCTGAAATCAGAATTTGAACCCTTTCTTTGAATAATACTGTTAATTGATAACGAAGCAGATTGTGCTCTTTCTAAAGCATTTGTGTAGCACTGTACTTTAAATAGCAGAAAAAGGGAAATCACTTACCTTTAGTGGTCAAAGAATGAACTGATGAAGTTCAGTACACGTCTGTATTAGCAGCAACAATTCCACGCTTGCATCTGGCTCTGGAGTATCCCTTTCCCCCCCTCCTGCCTGGCAAGTAATACAGCTCTTATATACCCTTCACACCTTTCTCAGCTCTGACATCAGGCAGCACAGAGAGACTGTCATTAATTTCCATCCCTATAGATAGAAAGTGCCCCAGAGAGGAGCAGAGGCAGATGGGTCATTATTACATTAACACATCAGTAAATATTAACCTAGCATATGCAGGATGCCCTTATGAAGGAAGTGTAATAGCCTATTGCACATCAGGACAGAAGCCACAATTTTACAGTTCTAATAAGATGCTGAGGTAATATTTCCTGTGGGTGTTTTCAAGGGCTAAATAGGGTAACAAACATTATAAAGAAACCAAGAATAAATGAAACACCAGATCACGAGTAACTGAAACAAATAAACAGAGGTAGTGGAAATAATGAAAAAGAGAAAATAAAATTAGAGGTTCGTAATAGGCATTCATATAGAAAACTGAATGGCAGAAAAAAATGACATGGAGGGATGTAACCATGTAACCTATAGGAATGGGGGGAAAGCAGGGTGGTGGGGCAGGAAGGATATAATTTAAGATGACCAGCAGGAAAACATTCAAATAAATAAAATAGAAATTGTATGATGATTTTAGTAGAGTAAAAGTAAGTATAAGGTTTTCACTACTAGGTTCTTACTTTAGTACAGAAAAACAACATCAAATGAAGGTTATTAAGGTTGCAAAGCTAATCAGTTAAAAATTAGGATGTGACAGAATTAAAGCTGCTTGTGCCAATGTATTTGCCCCCGCCCCCGTGCATATGCAGTAACATACAGGCTAACTGTTTAAAACCCACTCATGTGACATCAGAGACAAAATCCCATTTTTCCAAAATGACAGCAAGCCAGATTTTCAAAGACATTCTGATTCACAAAGATGCAGATAGGTACTTCCCATATTATCAAAATTGCCTAAACAGGTTTGTCTCTTGCTCTGTTGATTGCAGTGGGAACAAGACCATTCATTTGCATAGCCACTTCTATAGGGCCAACTAGGTGCTTCTCTGTCTCTTAAGGTACTCAAGTCACTTCATAAAACTGGCCCCTTAGGCATTTACAAACTTATGTCTTGTTCAAAGTCAATGGGAGTTTAACTCCTAAGTGCCTATATCTGTTTTGAAAATGGGAATTGCTTCTGACCATTTTAATTACTGTCTTAATTATGCTAGCACACTATACTTTTTATTTTTCCCTGGATGTGTCTACATGAGATGCTTTATTGCACAGTGGAATAAATTACTGCACAGTAAGCGTCACCATCTACACATGCAGACCCTTGCTATGCAGTAAATTGCTCTTCTTGGTAGTTAATTTACTACCTGTAAATGCAAGTAGCAAATTAGCTGCCGAGTAATTACTGTGCAGTAAGGCATGTGTAGATGGCTGGCACCCAGGCAGCTACAGTTGGATCCTGGAGCTCCCCTGGCTGCTTCAGGGTGGGCAGAGCAGGGCAGGAGCAGCCCTGGACTCAACTGCCTCTGTCAGGATTAACTTGCTCCCAACCTGGGTTCACTTGTAGCACCTGAGTGTGGTTTAATGCTCCTGAATTTACTGTGCAGTAAATTCAAGCACATTAATTGCACATGTAGATACTCTCACTTACTACATACTTCTTGGCTTCTAGAGCACTCATTCTCAATGAGAGTGCTGGGGAGATCTTTTAAAGGGTGCCACAAGAAATGTGAAGAAATAAGGGAGGTGTGAGGAAATAAGCAGATGGGGGCAGGCTCAGGTTCTCCTTGTTTAGCTGCTCCTCTGCCCCCACTGCCTAGCCCAGTGTTTCCCAGACTTTTGATACCCAGGGCACACTTTTTTTTTTCTGGATTAAAATTGGTGGCACACTTCAGTCTTGCATGTGAAAAAGGGAGTCGGGGAAAGCAGTGGTGGTGGCACAAATTCAGTTAGTAGATGTCTGGTTCTAGTGCAGCAACTCACCAGCCAGAAGCTGCATGCATACCATAGCTGGAGAGTGAGACAGTGAGAGAAATGCATATGGTTTGGGTGTAAGAAAAGTTCTTCTCAGGGGAGGTAGTGTCAGGCTACACTGGGGCAGCAGCCTCTTCGACAGGGTACACAGAACTGCTCCACTGTGCACCATGGAACCAAGGGGGGTGGTCAAAAACAAACTCTTCCACTGTCCATCACTGTGTGATGCAAGATACTGGGCAAGATGGACCGGTGGTCTGACCCAGTAAATAACAGTTCTTATGTCATTATGTCTGTTTTGAGTACATGGAAGAAGCAAAACTGAAAGTCATGATGTCCTAGGACTACTATATTTTCTCTTAGGCCAAGAACACTTTGATGGAGATAGGGGAAAAACCTGTCTGGTTAGGGTAGCTTCCTGAGGATTACAGAATATTTGTAATACAGATGAAATTTTCAGAAAATTAAAGAATGCAGGGGCAACATGTAGGGGGTGCACGCGGGTGCACATACTGTCCCTGAGCGTGGCTGTGCACCCCCTAGAAAAAGGCACTGCTGACACTGTCGGTGGCACCTGTGGGTGGCCGCCTCTCGCCCCCTCCCCCAGTGCTGATACCGCCAGCGGCGTCTGCGGGTGGTCACCAACCCCTGCCTCCTCCCCTGCCGCTGACAGCACCAGTGGTGTCTGCAGGAGTTCCTGCTTACCACCGCTGCACTTCTGGCACTGCCGTGCCTCGCCAGGGGCACACATCATTCATGAAAGAATGAGTGATTATAAAACAAATTCTAGTGAGCAAACTTCTGCCACTGGTGATTTTTCTTTAGTAAACAAAGGTAAATTTACTATTCCTCTGTAAAGAAACACCAAAACTATTTCTATTGCAAGTTTCAAGATTTTGCAGGAAACCCAAGCAGTGCTAACATTGTTCAAATAAATTGCAGACAAATATTTTTATTGTTGACAAAACAACCACTTTAGCCTAATGCCAGTCTCAGAAATTGATGAACTGTCCATTGAAATGTTCTATAAAGAAAACTCCATCAGAGATCACGTATGGAAAATTTCATCCCAAATTGTTATAATGTGATAAATTTAGTCAATCAAAGTGTGAAACTTGTTGGTACTTAACCAATATTTTTTTAACTTGATTGTCTACAATAATATACCTAAATTCACATTGGGAGATGGCTGAGCTGGAGTCTTCAGAGTCATAAGATTGCTAGGTGCCTTTCTCCCATTGAATTTTTTTGAAAAACCCCAGCCTTAAATATATGTCTTGATTTACAGAGATAATAAACAAGTATCATCTGCTGGCAACAGAGTTAAAGAGAGTCAGTTTGGCCTCAGATACATTGCTACCCTTAGACTGCAGGTGCTTACAGAAGTTACATTTTTTATGTGATGAGTGCTCTACAGCTGTAATATAACAGATGTCAAATGTTCATGGTTGCAGAGCACTTTTCAAATTGTCAATTGCACAAAAATGTAACCCTTATCTGATGAAGTATCATTCAGGGGCACTCTAGGGCAAAGTGCCTTATGGAACCTGCACACAGGTTTCCTGCAAGTGTCAATTTTGGGTGATTCTGCCCACATCCCATATGGTTTTACAGAACTGGGCTGGTATTCATGCAGGCAAGCACAAGCCCAGCCCTGCCCCTGGGGCTGTTATAGAGAGGAAACAGAGTCTCTTTCCTGCACAGCGGGGGAGGGAGTCTTGCTTGCTGCACTTCCCCCCACCCCCCAGCTACCCCTGCTGGGGTTTTGGGGGGAGCCAGGCTAGGCCTGCAAGGCAGGAGGTGAGGGGGGCTCCCTTCCCTCTCCCCCATGCAAGTGTCTTGACAGTAGTAGAAGTTGCCCCAACCAGAGTTGGGGTTGGGGAAGGATACAGAGCTCCCTTACCTCATAGGCCTGGCCTGGTTCCCCTAGGACCCCAGCAGGGATAGCCAGATCTAGCCTGTACAGTGGGGGCAGCTTCTGCCACTGTCAAGACACTTGTGTGGGGTGTGGGGGGGAGTCCTCCTCCACGTGTGGCTCCCCAGCTACCCCTGCTGGCATCTTGGGGGTTGCTAGGCTGGGCCTAGGCAGTGGGGGCTCTCTTCCCTCACCCCTTGCATGAGTGTTTTGACAGCGGCAGAAGCTGCTGTGCCTGGAGCTGGGGGGCAATAGAGCCCCCCCTACTGTGTGACCCCTGATGGGGTCCTGGGGGAAGCTAGACCAGGCCCGTAAAGCAGGGAGCCTCCATTCTGCCCTGCCAGACCCCAGCTCTGGGCACAGCACCTTCTGCCACTGTCAAGATACTTGTGCGGAGGGGTGGGGAAAGGGAGCTGCCCCCACCATGTGGGCCCAATCCAGATTCCCACAAGACCCCAGCAGGGATATGGGGGTGGGGGGAAGGGGGATGGCACACACACACTTTGTGTAAAGCTCCATGAGTTACAGTGCCTCCCTGACAGGCTGCCTGCACTTGTGTACATGCCCAGAGACTTGATTTTCCTCTTCCAGAAGCTTATAGTTTAAGATTGGTTCCCTCCCTTTGTCAGAGCAGGAGTTTTCTT